GACTTTTGCAGAAATCAGGGACTAACTGTGAGAAAGTAGAAACTTTAGGGGCTGCTTTCTTTAAAACAGAAGCTCTGGGAACTGAAATAAATACTTTTAAAACTTTGGGGCTTAGGGCTAAATTTTGAAAATTAAAATAAAATAAAATCATCTCCCTCTCTCTCTCACACACATTTCGAGCCAGCAAGGAGAGAGAGAGCGACGGGAAGGGGCTTCGTTTCCGCCACCAGCCAAACGGTCGAGGTGGAGGTGGCAGGCTCGGGGTGGCGCCGGTGCGGGGTGAAATCGTGATTTTTGGGTGTTGCAACTTTATTAAAATGCACCTTTAATCGGATTGCGACACGTGTTTTGATTTGCACCGTTGGATTAGTTTCTGGAGACTTCTACCCTTATATGCCTTTTCATTTGGCATTCGTTTGCTAGGGTTTCATTCTTTTTCTCTCTGGGTTAGCCGTTTGAAGGGGATATCTAGTTTTGGTTCTCTCTTCTGTTTCTTCTCAAATTACTGATTTGAGATTGTTGATCTGTAATAGTTAACCTCTGTATAGTGATATTCTGAGTGAATATCCGTGAGAAGGTTTGTGTTCTTTCATGTTGCTGTTTCTGAGGTTTTGAACAGATTCTTTGTGAATCTTGTGGATCGACTGTTGTATATTGAGAGATGAGTGTTCTTTTCTGTACTCAGTGATTTGGCTAAACATTTTTGTAACATTTGTTGTCATTTTGGGCTATATAGTGAAATTGAGCACAAATCCAATCTATTTGATACTCAACGGGGGATGTAGGCATTAGAAGTGGTCGTCGAACCTCCGAGGCTTAGACCGAAAGAAATTGCTTGTGTTTTCTTTAATTTTCTGCACTTTATTTTCTCAGAAGATCATTGTATATTTGTTTCTCAATTTAATATTTTGTGTTTCTGACTTTATAGTGGTATTAGAGCCATTATTGAAGGACAATATACCTGGATCTTAGAGAAATCAATTGATATGTAATAGATCTAAATCTTTGAAATTGCTGTCAAGCAAAATTGTATGAAATCGAGTTTTAAACTCCCTGGTGAGATCTTTCTAAACTTTTTGTAAAGTTCATCTTTCAAATTTTAGGGTTTCTTGATTTTTCTCTTGATTTACCGTACACATTAAACCCACTTGAGATTAATCTTTGTTCAAAGGCTCCTACGAGACATTGGGAATCTGAGATAAATCAAATACGTGTGTGTACTTGGATAATCTTGCAGGAGGAATATGTTAAACATAGTCCTGTGATCTCTGTTATCATGTTCTCTTTTGAATCTTGACTAGTACATTTTCTGCAAATGCTTGAAATTTGAAAATTCTTGTTTTACTAAGTATCCTTTTGTGATTTTTTAAGTGTCATCTATCTGTACTCTTGTTGCTCTTTGCATATTTTTGAAAGCTATCTTCAATCTGCGAATCATACTTGACTATAACATAGCTTTTGCTAAGTTTGAAGTTAGTCAATTTGATGGAAAAATTGATTTCAATATGTGGAGTCAAAAAATGAAAGTTATTTTAATACAAATGAGATGTATTAGGGCTGTAGATGATAGCTGGCCTGCTGATTTACTTCTTGCAAAGAAAATTGAGCTTGAAGAAATTGTTTGGAGTACTATTTTCTTGTACTTATCTGAAAATGTGATAAGAAGTATTGATGAAAAAAAAACTGCTTCTGAATTGTGGACCAAACTACATGTAAAATATATGACATAGACTACTCCAAATAAGTGTTTCTTACTAAAACAATTCTTTTCTTTCAAAATGGATCCATCAATTGATTTGGATGAAAAATTAAACAGATTTACAAAACTTACCCAAAACTTGGCCAACTGTGATGAAAAACTTTCAAAAGATCAGATGGCTATAGTTTTGTTAAACTTCATTAGTGACAGATATCAAGATTGCTCTAGAGTATGGTAGGGAAGAACTTACTCCTAATGTGATGATAAATTCTTTGAAAAATAAGGCTCTAGAGATGAAAGATTATTCAAGTAATGCTCAAAATGGGAGACAATTTATTAGTATAAGGGAACGGTTTTGGTAAATCAAATTATCATTCTAAGTCTTTTATTGAGAATAAAACAAATTTCGTGATAAGTATAAGTCCAAAAATAAGGCTAAAGGTAAGAAGTGTTATTACTGTGGGAAATTGGGTCATTTTGCTAAAAATTATTTTAAGAAGAAAAATGATTTAAAAGAGAAGAAGTTTGATGATGAGAGTAATGCTTTAGTATATAATAAAGCTAAGTCTGATACTGGATTGGTCCTTGTTAATATGGAAAAATAACTAAGCGATGAATGAATTCTTGACTCAGGTTGTTCTTTCCATTTGTGCTTAAATAAAAAATGTTTTCTTAAGTTTGAAATGGCAGCTGGGGGTGGGGGGGTGGGGGGGGAAGTTATAATGGAAAATAACTTTACTTGTAAAGTAAGAGGAATAGGTACCATAAAATTGTTACTAGAAAATGATAATGTTCTATTTTTTAAAGGAACTAGGTATGTTCAAGACTTGAAGAGGAACCTGACGTCCTTATGTATATTAGATGATATGGAGTTTAACATAAATTTGGGTTAATGACATATTAAAATTTTTAGAAGCAATGATTTAATCATTAGCACCCCTAAGAGACATGATCTCTATTTTTTGAAAGCTAAATCCCTAATTGGCTGAACTGCTTCTGCTGTATCTGAAAACTTTACACTTGGAAAATTATGGTATGATAAACTTGGCCACATTGGTAAAAAGGGTTTAAATACTTTACAATCAAAATGAGTTTTTGAAAAATTAAATCTTGGTGATTTTGATTCTTGTGAACAATATATCATAAGAAAACAAATCAAACTGCCATTTCCAACGGGAATTTATAAATCCAAACAAATGTTGGAATATTTACATGCTGATTTGTAGGGTCCTACTGTTGTGTGCACTTTATTTGGTTTTAAATATTTTTTATTGATCATTGATGATTTTTTTAGGGAAATTTGGGTATTCATATTAAAAAATAAAGATGAAACATTCTCTGTTTTTAAAAACTGAAAAACTCAAAATAAAATTCAAACTAATCACAAGATAAAGATTTTGAAGACTGACAATGGTTTGAAATTTTATAATCATGAATTCAATAATTTTTGTAAAGAACGTGGTATTTTGAGGCATAAAATTGTTACATATACTATTCAACAAAATGGAATAGCTGAAAGAATGAATAGGACTCTATTGAACAAAGTTAGATTCATGCTTTTGAGTTTTGTTTTGCCTAAATTATTGGGAAAATTAGGTTGTGTACCCTA